TTCGCTAAACAAATGCTTCTCCAGATATACCGGGAAGAAGCACTAGTCTTTCCTTGCATCGTGGATTCGTGAAAAAGAGGCCGGGGAAGTTAAGTACCGAGGATAAAAAAAAATGTGAAAAAGTGAATTCATCCCGATGAATTTTATTGAACGAGACGAGTAGACGCGCCTTTCGAGCTATGCGAAAAATCCATCCTTGGGTCGAGTTCGATTGAATTAGAATAATATCCCTTCTCTTTTTTTTTCTTTGCAGTATTGGGGAAGCTTAATTGTGGATCACGAGGTTATTTATACCCCAAGAGCCTCGGTAGAAACGGAGCTTTTCATGCTACCCAGAATTCGGATTTTATGACGGTACCATAAATCGTTCATTTACCTCCGCCACTATATTTTCTCGCGAAAATATTCAAGGAGAAATGCCGGTGAAGTTCCAAGGAATCAAGGCGAGAGTAATTCCTTTTTTTTTTTATTGCGGTGCATCGACTGCAGTGGAAGGTGGAGCAACGTGATCGATACGAGAACTATATCCCGTAGTGATCAATTGAATCTGAACGAGGTTGTCCAATATGACGTGGGTTTTAACCATTAAAGAAGAAAATCAAGAATTAAATTCAAGAAAAGATTGAAATCCCCAATTTCCTATCGAACAACCCAATAATTCAGGTGACGTGTATTTACTTTTGATTACAGCGATTTCTATCCCGCTTTGTTCCGTTTATCAGTCCCGTCGCGGAACGGAAATGTATCATGTGTCGGCTTATTGGTTTGTCCCGATGTATTGACAAATTTGTTCCAGAATAATAATGCAGCGATATCAATGAATAATAGTACAGCGATCGGGCAGAAAGGGAGCCCATTTGAGCGGCGCCGACAATGAACAGACGGCAAACAATAATTACCAAGAAGTGCTGTTTGCATGAAAGGTGGCCAGCAAAGCCTCGCGAGGCTCAAGTCTTTACACTATCATTTGGTGCCTCTTCTACGTCTGAAAACGTTCTCACGTTCAACGAGTCCCTTCGTGGCAGGAACAGGGAATAAAACCATCGCGAGTTAATCTCCCCACGTAGCTTCCTGGTATGTATTTAAACGCGTTTCTTCTGGATCGCTGAATAAATTAAGTCAAGTGATTATACTCAATGCACAAAATGGCCACTTAAGCGAAACGATTTTCTTAAGGCAGATTTAAATGCCCGTTATGAAACCGGGCAACCTGCAATTGCACATATAATGTACGAATTCATACCATTAATTTTTAATTACACGACGTTAACGAGTCGATAAGAGCAAAATTATATTATCATAACGATCGACGTACAAGCTGTAAGAGGAAAGAGTGAAAAGGGGAATCGAAGATACTCAAATGTACATTTCTAGTTGAAGTGCCAACACGTTATATTTATTTGTTTTTCTTTTTTTAGCTCGTGGCCGTTATTTTGATCCCGCTGTCATGGTTACTGGTAGATAATTAGTTATTTTTAAAGCCACCACTTCCAATTAGAAACATTAAGCATGGTATGAAGATTGCGGGGTCATCAAGGTTAAAAAAATCGTACGTAAAACCATGTTGCTAAGGGGCACGTATAACTTCTATCTTCGATTTTATATTCCACGTGTTTTTTTTTTAAGTGAATTGGACTATCGGTTATACGCCATAAAAAGGCAAACAGGGTTAATAGGGACTAATAACTTCAAAACAGAACTCGTATAGATGATCTCACCCGTCTACGTTGCGTACACATTAAAGCGGTTTTCACGACGCACAATGGAATCGTCATCTTTCTACCTTTAATTAAAGCCGAAAATTTGTGCAACCAATTATGTGCTTATTTCTGCGACTTTTGTTAACTATACGATATACCCAGGTACTCGTGCACCGGGAACTAATAAATTTCTCGGATAATCGATACATGAGTATCGAGCCATTACATAATTCCTCGTTTCTCGACTTAGAATTATTATCGTAACGATAACGAAAATTATCATCAAGAAGCCGGGCGAAGAAATATAGCAGTATCAGGACTCGTACAGTACGTAGGTATTGCTCGGTACACCGGTGAAAAATTGCCCCTTCGCGTAATTATTTTAACGATTTATGAAACATTATCTATCAGTTGCGAGTTCTACCCAATAAGACCTATTACTCTAATGTCGAAGCGATTGCTTATTATCAGTCGTTACTGATGTCAACCGTTGCCAACATTCATTTGGTAATCGAAATTGACCTAGCGCCCTTATCGCCTCCACGTTGATTCGAAAAATATTTTTCCGCTCTCGGTTCTATAGAGTACAGGAAAAAAGGTCCGTAAAGAAATCTAGATACGCCTTTCGCAAAACCGAAACGAGCAATTTCACTTCCCATTAAGATCTCGTTTAAGACAACTTTAGGCCCTAATGACAATTTATCGTTTCCCATTCCTAATGAGAAGAAAAGTAAAACGGACATTTCGGCAGGACTCCTTCGAGGAGAGAAATGATTTATCTACCGGATTAACAAGAGCACAATTATTTCTACTCGGCACGAGTGCAATTAAATATCAGTGCCATTTGAATTCAATGAACTCTCGAAAGAAGTCGACCTTCCACGGAAATACGCTCCACGTGTTTTCACTTTCGTCCGAGAACGAACGTCACAAAAGGTTGAGCGTAATAACAAAAATTAATCATTTTCGAAACGCGCGCATCACGCGATTAGCCACGGCGTAACACGTAAACAAGTCAATACGTAGCAAGAAACATGTTTAAAGAGTTGGCTCATCTCATCTGCGAGGCAATCCTTGGGTGATGTACCGATTACGTGTACGTAAAATATAGATTATACAATCTCCGACATCAGAATTTTTTTTCTCTTCCCACTTGAGATCGATCGCCGATTTTAATCACGATTGAAAACAGCTCAAACCAATTGATTACAATTCAATTAATCTCTGCGGTTACTTAGCGTTCTTTCAATTTCGGAGCACCCCCGACGAACATACAATAACAAAGATACCGTGTAATACCCAGCGGTGCAAAGAATAAATGACCCCCTTCTTTTTTATTCCGCTTCCAATAACTAGCTGATAAAAATTATTTATACGTCTCTTACCAAACCAACGCATTAAGTCTCGTATTTAGCTTTCATAATAAACGATTAGATAGGGAAGATTAACGCGTAAAGTGAACTTGAATTCGTAAACTAGTGGGAATAAAATAAAATGATGTCGATAGAACGACTGAGAAATATACATTTAGATATACCGTGGCCTCAAACGCCTAAATCGATATAAACGAGCTTATCCGTATCAGCAGGAACACCGCAGTGTCAGCGTTTTTACGCATTCGAAGAAAGACATGTAAAGCATGTGAAATAAGATCGCTGCCGAAAAATTAAACATGAACCTGCTACTAAACCTTCATACTCGGAACTGACTCGAATAAAACAAGTCATATTAAAAACGCATACAATTTGTGCATGTTAAAAAAGAAAGAAGTTTTTTGGCAGACGTATATGTAAAATCTAAATGAAAAGTATATCCGAACGAAATTGATAATTAAACAAAAATATTTGTGCGATCGTTACAAAAACCGACCATGAGATATAGGAAATCCAAACCAAGTGCCGTTTAATTACTTAACAATAAACAGAACCAAGTTGACTAGAGTAGCATAAAAAGAAGAGTCAGAAACCACTAAGCATCCTACAAAACGTTAAATCAGATTATAATAGTTAATAAAAATAGATAATTAAGTAAAAAGAAAATTAATAAAAATAAATAATTGAATAAAAAGATAATTAATAAAAATCAGAATCGTTCCGAGTTTTCTGTCTATGTGACAAAAGGTTTCGCCACTTCAATTTGAATTTTACCCTTGAAGGAAATTTTGCAACGTTAGCGCCACATTTGCCGTATTCGCTCAAGGAGGCAGAAAATGAAGTAAAAAATCTATGTAACAAGATATTACTCAAGATTTTCCTGGAAATCGAAAACAAATAGGAGAAACCAGGGCTAGTTGTTACATTTCGAGCTGAGTAGCTTACACATTTTTCAATTGGTTCACATATTTAAATTCGAACTCTATTGTACTCTAAAAGTTTAGGAATTGTGTCAATAAATACGCCTAAACGCGACAGAAAACGACAAAGGAGTAGAAAAGATAACGAGAACACATGATTTATTTAGATTTACGGATAAGGCAAATTACGTCCACCCGCAAAAAACGGATCATCCTCCTCCACCGCTTCCACGTGCTCATTTTCGGAACTTTATGCATCGAACATTTTCGTTCCTTGTTCCGGAGAAAATAGAGAAAGAAATAATTAAAGACTTCTCCAAGTCACGGGATAATTTTCGCGGTTTAACAATCTATCCGAGCACATCGGAGCACCGAGCTTCGAGTGTTTTTATTTTATTTAAACAAGCCCTCATCTAAACCCACCGTAATTCGATAAATCACCACGTAACGAGATCGAGCTAGATACGCGGAGAATGCCCAGGCGAACCGATAAGAATATTTTTAATATCTTCTAATATCCAATAATAACGTTAAATATTTTCCCAACCCTTTTGTCCGATACCACTGCCCGATCGCCCAAAATGATACAAGAGAAATTCTCTGAAAACATGACTAACCGAGGTACACATGGCGGACGCTTATCGAGCAGATCACGTAACGCGCCGAGGCGGAGTAACCTCATCCAGCGGAAGCTTTTGAAAACTCTCCGCGACATCTTACCCCGTGTAACGATTAGTCCCAGTCTGCCCACCACCTAACCTTCCCAGATGCCGCAGAAAAGGGCCGGAGGGATGCCGCAGTTTGGGGCAGGAAGATAAGGCGCGGAAACATACCGAAGGCGTCCTCCCGAGTCGAACGTTTCGACCGGTCATGCAATTCGGGGAGAAGGACGCAGAAGACGGGCGAAAAGGCGTTTCAGTGGTACACGCAAACCCGGCCAAGTACGGCGGGTCGGTTACACGCTCACGTGGGGCTTTATGTAGGCGCAATACGTGTGCAGTGTGTACCTTTGGCTCGGTGGGCCTTGGTAACAGGCTGTGGAGATGCGGGCGAATCGCTGACATCCAGCTCGTGGATGGCCTTGGTGAGTCCGCAAGATCCGGAGCCCCATTTCCTCTCCTCGCTGATCGGGTGCTCCTCGAGGGCGATCTCGGCGTCGCTGCCGTCCTCGAAGTAGCCGCTCTCGTGTTCCGGGTTCTTCATGGCGATCGGAGGGTCGCGACGAGCAGCAGGTGGGGTTCTCTCCCCGGTTCGAGAGGGGCCCAAAGAGGCGAGAGAAGGAGCGGCGCCGCTACGACGCTCGGCGCATCCTCGGCGACGACGTCCACGCTCGGGAAGGTCGAGCTCTACGCCTCCTAGGTCTGCGTCATCCCGAGCGCCTTGCACCGTGCGGCCGGCACCCACCACGGGGACGCCCCCTCTTATCGCGGGGCCCTCGGCGATACCTCGGCAAGGTCTCCGCCCAGTGGCGGGCCCTTCGTCATCGGGGAACTTCCGTGGAGCGTTATCGGGACGCGGTGGCCCGAGGTTCCCTTTCCTCTTATCGAGGCTCCCGAAACGAATCCTCTCCTCCAGTCGCGAGGAAATCCCCGACGAGGGTCCGCCGAGCGATCCTCTCTCTCTCTCCGTCTCTCCTACTCCGTGGTATCCGCTCGCGGCTGCCCCCGCAATTTCTCCAAGCGGCTTGGCCGCGACCTCGGCACACTTCTCGCTCCTTGCGAACTTTTCGCAAAAGCAGCTTCGCAAGAGCTCCGCGTCCACTGGCGTCTCTCGACGACGGTCCCTCGGACCCCGTAGACTCTGAACCTGGACCTCCTTTCCGAACCGTGCCACCTGGATCGGGCCTCGACTCCTCGAGGATCCTCCCTCGGCAAGGTCCTTTGGAACGGCCTCGACCGTTCTCTCCAAACGATCTGCTTGCGGTATTTCTCGTGCCTCCCGGTCCTCTCGATAAGGAACACCTCTCGCACAGGACACTTATCGCCTTTCCCGGCTCGATGAGCAGCGATGGCTACTCCGAAATCCCTCGCCGCTGGAAATCTCGGCCGGAAGGTCCCACGTCGGTTCCGCCGGAAGCCGGCGAGGAACCGCGTTTCTCCTCCTCCTCCTCCCGCGTGGCGTCCTACTTTTCAGCGAGCGAGCCAAGTGCCGCAATTCCGAGCGCGGTCCCTCCCGTGGCCTTTCCGGAAGAAAGCTGCGGGGAAAAGATCGAGCGAACGTGAAAACACGCCTGCCGATCGGTCTACGCACCGACCCGCGTCCGCGTACACTGAACACGGAGACGCGTGTCCCGCGTCTCTCCTTGTGACGAGGCACTTCGCCGCGCGTGCGGCCTTCGGCGGTCTCGCGCGCACGCGCGCGCGCGCACTCCCGCGAGGAACTTCAAAAAGAGGAGCGCGCCGTGAATCGGGATCACGCTTAGTCACGCCGCGTCACGATCGTTACCCCGTGTCCTTCCGAGTGCTCGATCGAAAGAGACGGAGCTACGCAACCGGAGTAGGGAAAAACGACCGAGTCCGATCTCTCGCGCCACCTATTTGCTATCCCACTGACACACTTGACTCGGGATTTCGGTCGCGGGAGCAAGGCCTCGGTGCACGGCGACGCGCAAATATCGGCTCTTTAAACCGTAGCACCGAGCGCTCGGGCAGATAAGGTCGATTACAAAACGAACCGCTCGGCCTCCCAACGGGAAAGTCCGCGGGGCACTTTCTCGTACCTCCTCGTATCAGTCGGTGATTCCCGACTCCGAATGTAAAGCGTCCCGTATGCGTAATTCATGCGCCCAAGCGCGCGTACGCGTGCGAATATGGCGGCTCGCCGATTTGGAGGTCGTTGTCCGGGGGTCGATTTATCCTCGGATTGGTCGGTTCGTCTCGAAGTCCAACGTCGTTCAGTAGGCTTCTCTCCCGGGGATCGAGGGGAGACCTCTGGACGCTGGCTTTCCCACCTTGCCCTTTGGAATCGGCGCCGCAGGCGGTCGCGCCGAATAATCGTCCTCGAGCTCCCTTTCCAGGCCGTGGGTCGGCCGTAACGCGCGAACGAGAATTATCGGCCCGTCCTCGAGGCGGTCGCCGGTGTCGCCCGGAGCCGTTTTTGCCGATGGCGGGTCACGCGCTCCGCGGAGGTCCGTGTATTTTTGTCCAAGACCACGTCCCCGTGTCGGTCCAGAGCTATCGGCGCTTCGGCTCGCTGTAGGCGCCCGAGTATTACGAGCGATTCCGAGCCCGAAAGTCGGCAGTCCCCCGAATCACGCGTTCCGAGGGGTTAGCGATAAGGTCGATGATAACGCCGCCACGGGGTGGTCGGGCTCCTGGATCCCTCGGGGGCAGGAATTCACGGGCCCGTGTCGATGCCCTCCGGGATAAGACAGTAAGGGGTGCGCGTGGCAAGTCGGTGGAGACCCGCGATCCGCCCTGCGAGAGCGCTGCGAGTGGTCTGCGGGCGCCGAGAGCTCCGCGCCCAGCCCTGCGTGGCGTACGGTTCGAAGTCTCGGCCGCGACTGACTGACGTCTCCCCCACCGCGGCGCTCGAGAGCCCCGCACCCTTCTCCGGACTAACAGCTGATTTGGAAAACACCGAGGCCTGCCCAGTAGCGGATCGCCGCTGCGGTCGCCCCGCTCCCCGAGGCCCGCCCCCAGGAACAATCAATTACTTGCGGCGCACCTGATATCCTTAGAGGATGACGCAGGTAGATGTGCGCCTTGGGTTCTCCCGTTCTGCGTTGTTTCGAGAAAGTCGGCTCTAGACCGCTTTTACTGCGAATCGCGGTAAATACGGATCGTAAATTCGGAGTATCTCTTTCTTACGGGGTGCTTTCCCCGGGCAACGCTTGTTATTTTAATAAACCAAAGCTGTCGTTATTTCGAGTAGAATAAAATTATTTTAACTATTAATATCGACGACTGACCAGGGGGGAATATTGCAAGGATTACTTTGCTTCCATTGCAGTGGTATATACGTGCTTTATCGAATACTTGATATCGTACACGTTCGGGAAGATGAACCGATGTGAGTTTTTTTTTTAACGTTATGGGGATTTCTATTAAGTTTTAAGTCGACTTCTTTTTATTGTAGAAAATTCGTCAACGAAAGCAAAAAAAAATATAGAAAAGTCGGACGAATGTAGAGTGAAAATGAGATCCATTTGCTTTGATGCATCGTTGTAACGTTTGAATGTCGCGGGGCAATGCCACTGCTGACTCGGCACTGGGATATCTGAATAAACATTTTACCAAATACATGTGAAGTTAAAGAGGAGGAAAGGTGAGTCACGCACGGCACGAAGGAGCGTCCGAAGATCGTTCCAAAGCGAAAGGACGAGTTTCGAAATAGAAACTATTGTTCGAAAGGAATTCGGAGTTCTATTTTTGCGGGCGACAAAGCACTTTTTGATCTACCCGATAAAGAACAAATTTCGATGGAAAATGCATGCGAGCGATTTAGAGAGCATTATAATTATTCCACCGTATTAAAATTGAACTTCTTTGGCCGAGAAAATTAGTAGCAATTATTCTTGTAATTTCATTTACCAAGTGGACGTTGTTTTCAATTTGTTTGCAACTTGGTTTTGGATCAAAATCTAGTAACGCATAGTTTTCTTTGTTAATGAAATATTAATGTTACGTTATGAAAAGTGTCATGACTTAATTATAATTATACGTACACGTATTGCTATTTGAGAATACATTAGGTTTGACGATTGTCGATAGTTTCTATATTTTAAAAATGTTGGATGATTTAACCTTATTAAAATCGACACAGAGGTCACAGGCATAGCGATATTTTTTACAAATCAAGAAGACATTTACGATATCGTCTATCGCCATTCGACATATGGTTACAAGTTAAGTACTACTGACGACAAAAATGGAATCTCTGTATTTAGGACAAATTTTGAAAGCAAGATTTCGAGCGACGCGCAAGTAAAACATGAAACTGCTTTACAAATCGCAAGTAAGTCACGCCGAATTCCAGCCCACCGAGTCGTTTGCCGTCCTACTATTTAAAACATTTTCCCCGATCAAACGAAAGCATGCACTAGTATTTCCCAACTTACATAATGTACTGCGAAGTCTATAGAGCATTGTCACTGCAAACGCATTGCCCTTACCTGAAAATATCACAAGTTTGCATAAATGAAACGTTCTCGATATTTCCATAATATCATTTCAAAACCACAAAACAATGATCACGCAATAATTAACGTAACCTACATAAGGTTAACGCAAAATACCAGTATACGATACAATATCCGATGCAACATCGAAGAAATATGTACACCCCGATGAGCGATATGTAACCTCTTTTGGAAAAGGGCATCGGGAGAATATTTGAAGCATAAGGAAAAAGTAACGGGCGGAGGATACACGGCAATACGTACCGAACGTTAAGACGTGCGTGACAGTGGTATCCGCATGTGCGCTGTCACTCGACGTGGTGGGCACAGGAAGGGGCGGCGGTGGAGGGGGCGGATGCATGGCGTTCTCCATCCCCCCCGAGAATCCACTGACACCCGCACTGGCTGTCAAGTGTCAACGCCAAAGAGTGATCCGATCGGTCCTACTCACACGAGCGCCATTTTCCCAGTATCTCCTCCTACGTCTTACGCGCGTTGCCACCACGAGACGTGCTGTTATACGCGACGTCGGCGTCCGATCTTTTCCCGGTACTGGCCGAGAGAGCATTCAATCGAACGTTATCGGGCTTCTCTTTGGAATTCGGCCGGGTTTCTTCTTCGACCCATCTCACGGTGGACGTTGCGGCGAGCGTCGGTTGGTCGGAAGACCCCGCGTCAGAGGCTGAGACGCGCGATCGCGCCCGATATTCACATTATTGCGACACTTATTTCCGACGAGACGAGCTCGGTAGGACTACACACATTTTTGGTGGTGCGCGCCGCACTACGTCGCACTACGCAATCGTTCCGCTCTCGGCAAGATCGGTGCTGATTGGTCCTCTCCGTCTCTCAGTGCCGTCTATCGCAGCGACCCCTTCCGACGCCAAATGCCGGAGCCCCACTCAGTGCGTCGGATGCCACACCGAGCGCGGCGCGTCATCGCGTCGAAGATGCCAACCAATCGGAACTGCGGTGGAAGTGACGCACGGGGCTGAGCGCAGTTCTGATTGGCTGTTCATCCTTGACGCGTTGACGCCCCGCGCTCTGTGTGACATTTGATGCGCCAGTTAGGACTCCGGCCAGAAATGGCGGCACCCCCCACGCCCCATAGATTTTGAAATATCTACTAGATTAAAACTTGCGTATCATACTTTCGACAAGTACTTTCCCGTACGTCGAACTCCGTCTATTGGTATCAATGTATATGAAAGATACGAAAGATATTCAATACCGTTTAGATAGAGGCTAAGGTTTCAGGGTAAATTTATACGAATATCACATACAAGATATTATGTCTCGATTCCTACTAATAATTAAACGGGGCTAATATGAGACATTTTTGTTGCCACTTTAAATATGTTCTTTATTGATCTCGGGTTAACCACGATTTAATACGATGTAGGAAACATATTACCCGTCATATCACTCCTGAGTAGAAAATCTTATTAAGAGGAGAGAAATTTTCATTGAAATATGTTATATGCAATTTCTGTTCTCTGTGCATTTCATAACTTCGCGGGTGCAATGAAAACAAGATACGTTCTTGGGTACTTATTAAAATATGCAGGTGATCTGCAAAGCAGTCTAAAACGTCTCGATTACATTCGAATCGAATTATGAAGCAAGGAAGGTATCGCGATTCATAGTGGCCTTTATCAGCAGTAAAGTTCTGTGTAATTTGGAACTTCTCTGCAATACCTTCGTAGAAACGAATAAGGATCGAGTGACTCGCGGAATTTTATCTTATCTGCGTTTGGTATATTGTATACTGACAATTATGAACGCCTGTTCTGCGGAGGTGCTGCCGCTAACGGCAGTACACAGTAACAACAGCAATGATGGTGGAAACTTTTTAATATTACGTCTGTTACATATAATAAAAAAGTTGTTAAAAAAAGCTAAAAATGTGAAGACTAATATACTGTGTTTTGATTGGCATTTAATGAAAAAGAAATGCTTAATATATGTTAAAGATGTTACAAAACACATCTTTATTACACTTTCTTAATTTTGTTGTTTATAGAAATCCGGTTTCTTATGAAGATTTTATTATTACAATACAAAGGATTTTATTGTTCGTAACATTTTAAATTGCCGCTGTTAGTATGAACTGTCTTGGTTAGCAGCATTTCCATAGGAAAGGCCCCGTATATAGGAATATCTCTTTCATCTCTCCGAGATAAAAGAAAGCCGCCGTGCAGACTGCGCTGCTAGTTCAAGTTTTTCTCAAGCTACACGGTGGCGCTGAGATCTCAGCTACCAACGTGATGTTGGCTGCTACCAGTCCGTATATATATAGTTAAAGGTTCAGACAGTTTCTGTACAAGAATGAATAAGCGAAAATACCCTGTGAAGTTTTCCAAATTATACGAATAATGCTTGTGCAACCTTAGAAAACACATTTTCATTGTTTGTTCGTCTCCTACAACGTGTAACCTGCCGGATAGGGATTTAATAGCAATTTTCAGATATTAAATATCGTACTCATGTGAAAGGAAACCTTCGAACAATTATTTGAAGCGGTGACAAATACGGTACCACCTCAATATGTGTGTCTTTACTGTCTGATTTTCGAAATAGTTTACTCCAACTAGTGTTGTTCAAACGTTGCTTATTATTCGAATTCAGAGGGTTCGAGTGGAGCGAATATAGTTTCGTTGAACATCTTCGTAATTTAATCACAATGTGGGCATTAATTTCTTATTGATACTGCTTAGTATAGTTTAGGAGAGGTTATGTTGCCCATATGATTTTGACAGCGAAAGAAGGCTGAGAACCTCTGGCGGAAGAAGTTCGGACCAAACTGCTCCTCTCGGCTCGAACCAATCCGCTGTGTTGCTATACAAAACTGGAGGAAAAAATTCTTTGACTGTAGCAACTGTAATGCTAATTTACTTTTGTTTTACGCATCAAAAGTGCATAAATTCTAGGAGCCGCCATTGTGTTAGCTTGTGTACTTTTATGTAAGCGTTGGGCTCCCAAGCTTATTAACGACAAGGTCGCTTGTCGCCGAGGATTTAAAACACGAGATAGCAGAAGACAGTTAAAACCGTTGATGTTCGCTGGCCGTTAAGTACGAACCTAACCTAGTTGTGTGGCGTCCTTGTTGCAAATATTAGTGTCGGATTCATTAGAACTACGCGGCTCCTCGAAAAGTTTGCGAATTGTGGTTATTATGCAAAATTGCAGTCAGTGTGATACGTGAAGATCTCCGTAAGTATAGAAAAGAAGGTTACTGTTTAAGCAAATGCATTGGCAGCTCCGTAACCCTTTCTACTGACAGAGTGTCAAAGGATAAGAAAAGTTTCATTTTGGGGATCTGGTGTTAGGAAAATATTGCATTATGAAATGTTTAACATGACACGTTGATTTTATACATGCAATTAGAAAGTATCGTTATTTGTGATAGGACGTTGGATGTTTACGTTTGCTACTTGTTCACTTTGAGATGATAATGTGTTCTTAGTTATTAGTTTTTAAGTTCATGGTCATTGTTAAAATGGTTATTTTATGTTTAATAATGCAGCATCTTATTTGACAATGAATGGACCACAAATGGATCCAGCAACGGTTATAGCTTTGTGTAAAGAAAACATTCAACCATTGCGCCATGGGCGAAATGCAGTACAATTAGGTACGGCACTACGTGCCCAAGAAGACGCAGATGCACAACAGTTACTGCAGCAAGAAAAACAGTAATATTATTAAATTCTGTATATAAATACCTTAACAGTTTATCATATGTCCCAATATAATTTTATTTTTATTCTAAATATTCGTGTTTCATACATATCTATAGATTTTTACAATAAAAACGTTTTAGCTTTGAAAATAATTTGTTAGTTTTAAAAAAATAATATTTATCTTTAGGATGTATGAAGATGCAATTAAAAGTTACGATGGGGATGATCCTTTGGAAAATTGGTATGAATATATTCTTTGGGTGGAACAGAGTTATCCAAAAAGTGGTCATGAGTCTCCTTTAGCAAGACTTTTACAAGACTGTTTGGCTACTTTTGAAAAAGACGTTAAATATCATCAAGACCGCAGATACATTCGTTTATGGATTAACTATGTAAGGCATTTCCTAATCTTTTTTTTTACAGAGTATCAGTGGATTTTGTCTTTGACACTTAATTTTGAATATTCTTGAAGGAAATGTAATAATGTTAATAATGCATTTGGAATTATTGTAGATAAGTATGCAAAAAAATCCTTTAGAACTGTATCAGCTTTTATATAGAAATGGCATTGGTACAATGGTGTCCGATATGTACCGAGCATGGGCATTTGAATTGGAACAAAGCGAAGATTATAAACGAGCTGATGAAGTTTATATGATAGGAGTATCTACAGCAGCTCAACCACAAGAAGAACTTGACTATGCTCATAAGTATGTGTTATGGCAAATATTTTGTTAGTGATATATTTTTAACAGAAAAAATGTATGCGAACAAAAATGTCCTTGGTATTGAATGTAAATTCGTATATCTAAAATGGATTATATATGGTTATATATAGGATTTTATATATCACATTCAAATAATTTTATTTACTCAGCAAATGAATTTTAGAGCTGTTAATGCCGATATTCATCTAAGATATTTTAATTATATTAACAACATACTTAATAATTATTTCGTTTATAGAAATTTTCAGTTAGCAGTAGCTCGCAAAATGCTTGGTCGTACAGAGAATAAATGTGAAGTAACCCTAGCTGAGCAGCGCCAAGCATTTAGTTCCTTACGAGCTATTAGAGCTGGTAAGAAAGTGACTAGTATTCGCACAGGTCATCGAGTGCGAGATTATTTACCAGGAACTATGCCACAAATTGGTCCTCCAGGTCAATCGTCAAGATCAAGTGCTAAAATTCAGATTTATCAGGTAATATATTTTTTATTCAGCGATAAATCAAGGATTTTAGAATACCTAGCACTATTGCGTTATATATTTCTTATTAATTACGTTAGGATGAGGGTCAGGATGGGCAAATGAAAGGATCTAGTATATTAGACCACATTCCAACAGAAGAAGTGATACATAAAGAAAACACTATTAAGCCTGGACCATGGAATAGTGGGAGTAGAAAACATCCATTAATGTCAGTGCCTGTTAAGACATCTTTTAAAGGTATTTTCAAATCTGTTGTAAAGATTACACAAATTATTATAATCTTGGTGACAACATTTCAACTATGGTTTTCTGTCACTAAGTTCACGAAGATGATGTCGATGATCAAAACAGTATGGAAAGGTTGAGATTATTTCCTAATCATACATCGTTCTTCGATGGCAGCAAGTACCATGATCATTTAATTGTTCCCGTTTATGTCCCGGATCCACCAAATCCGCACATAATCATGAAGGTTCATTATCCCAAAGATTTGGTTTACACTAATAATGTTGACCGAAGTATGGAAGAAATTAAAGCACAATTTTATTTGGAAAGGTAGTGCATTTTAGTACATTTCGTAATTTTTTCGAATAAGGTTTTGCAATATTGGTAAAATTTAAAGTACTTTTGCCTCGACTTAGAGCATAGGTTTTATATAAATTCATTTTATTACGTTTTGTAGAAGGGCAAAAAATCTGGAGAAAATAGGAAAAATGCAAGATATTCAGTTACACATGGAAGAGGCAGAGAGAGTTAATAAATTATGTGAAATTGCGCATCAGAGACATGAAGTGAATGTAAATGAATTAGCAATGCAAAGACAAGAAGCTGAGCAAAGGGAACTGGAAAGGCAGAGACAGTTGGAGCAACAAAGAAGAGAAGCTGAGATGAGAGAAATAGAGAGGCAAAGACAACTAGAGCAGCAGAGAAGAGAAGCTGAACAACTTGAGTTTGAAAGGCAAAGACATGAAGCAGAACAAAGAGAAGTGGAGAAGCAAAGGCAAGAAGTTGAGTTGTTAGAATTGGAGAGACGAAAACGACAGGCGGAACAATTGGAACATGAAATTCAAAGACGAAAAGCTGAACAACTAGAGTTGGATAGGCAGAGGTATGAAGCTGAACGACAGGAATTGGGGAGATTAGAAGCTGAAAGAATAGAGGCAGAAAGAATCGAAGCTGAAAGAATGGAAGCTCAAAGGATGGAAGCTGAACTTAATAGACAGCAAAAATTACCAATGTCAAATTATATGCATCGACTTCATACATCTGCCGATGTTCGTGAAATCGAGGAACATTTGCTTGGACAAAGTTTAACTGTTAATACCAAAGAAGCCATGTCAGCTGTACAAGGTTTATGGCGATCACCAGAAGAAAAGCAAGCTGATTCTTTAATTGACAACACTATGATGAACCGATTAACGGATTCCAGGCCCAAGATTTTATTTGATATTCACATGGACAGTTCTATGACGCAGCAGGCAATGTCTACCAGTAAACGTCGCCATGAGTTCAATGTTCATTCATTCAACGACCAAGAAAATCATTTTCACGTTTCATATACCGATGCTGAACATCAACCAGGTTTTGCAAGTCATGGATTTCCAACTACTTATCATTATCAAGTACAGGTACTAGATTTTAGAAATATCAGTAAAATATTAACTTAAAAATTCTTAAAAGGTTTCTTCCATTGATTCTTCATACAAAGCGCTCAGGAATTAAATTTCACGTGTAAATATTACGCGTTGAAGTTTTAAAAGTTGGTAATGCATTTTTTATAGTAATTTTTATTAAACTCTTGGGAGAATATTAATGAATGATGTTTCATTGTGATCGTTAACATAATAGTATTATTCAGTATAAGATCAAATTTTTTTCTGATTTTAATTTTGAGTGAATAATCCTGAGATCTTGGTTCTGAAAAAGAAAAGTCAACGGAAGTAGTTTGGCTTGCTTAAGAACTTATGCAGTTGGTAAAAGTTATAGTCTTTTCTGTGTATTTCGATTTGGGTTCTCTACTTTCATTTTTATTGCAGCAACACCAGCAAGTTCAAGCGCAGCATCATCAGCAAGCTCAGTCGCAACATCATCAACTTCAACCCCACCATCAGCAGGTTCAGGCGCATCACCAACAAATTCAATCACACCAACAGTTGCAACAACATATTCATCCTCAGCATCATCAGCACCAGTCACTACCACAATCGCAGCATCAACAACACCATGCATATGAGAACATTGTGCCAAGTACTGTTGGATACCAGCAGTATGCATCACCTCTTCAGGTCCCATCAGACCAGCATCAAAGTGTGGAAGCTCAAAAACAGTTACATTTTACACCCTACACAGAGCCGATAGTTGAATCTAATAAGTCATACAAGATGCCCTCCGAGTTGCCCTATATTAAATCACCAGGAATGAACAGAAGGGATCTAAAATATTTAGAGGGCGCCGAAGACAAGGAAAATGAAGTTGTTCTAGATTACAACGAACCTGTTGAAGAGAATCAAGCTAAAGCAACCGAAGAAAATTTATTTATCGACGAAAGCCTTGGAATCGCTCCACTGTCAGGGATTAACGAAACTTGCTTTACAGAAGCTTTTAATACCCAATTATCCGCCTCCACACCTATGACTAGTCATTTCAAACCATCTTACAGGATGAAAGATGTACAGCAATTTCCAGAACCCCCTGCTCCAACACAAGAGTATGTTTCAAAATCTAGTTAATGTATTCAAATTCTTTTGTAATTTATTATCTTCGGCTTTATTACAAATGCTTTCCAAACTGTTGCAGAATGGCTTATTATTTCAAATATAATTCGTTATTCTATCAGCATATTAATAGGTTTTTAAGAATATTATTGCACAAGGTACGCACTATTTAATTATTATTACGTGAAAAATTTAGAATTCCAGGTATACGCACTAACGAGGCCGATGATAAGCTTAGTGTTATTATGGAATCTACGGGGGAATACGTTTCTAGTAGTTCCGGTAGCAATGTTCCCACACGATTAGGTTTTACCATTACCAGAGAAGAAATGGTACCTATCAAGGAACAATCGTCTTCAAATCAAGGTAAAGTTTATAATAATTTTGTGGAATCTTGGCATGCCTTTCAATTGTAGTCTTTTCATTTTTTTTATATATATCTCGTACATTTAATTGTTACAGATATGGAATCGACTGTATCTCTGCTCGCTGCAAATCAGACTTATGAACAGAAGATGAGGGCGCAAATTCAAGCAGTTCATGCACAGAGTCCAAGAACAGTTCAGCGCAACGTAGATCAAATCACTTCGGAGATTAAAACTAACTGTGACCTGCACAAATCGATAGGTTTTAAACTTAATGATTCAGTTGAGGATAAAATAGATGATTCTATGGAATGCGAAGAGCACGAGCCAATGGAGGAAGTAGACGAGGAATTGTTTGAATTCCCAACAGGAGATATAAATCCTTTTGACAGTAAATTAATCACGAAATTTTTGAAAAGGATGAAATTCCCTCAAGCGCGTCACGCTGAAGGATATGTAAGATTAAATAGCAATTTAAATAAATTTGTGCCTTTTTCTACAATTACGCTTGGTAAGTGGTGCATTTGATGTTCTCAATTATCTTGATGGACGGAGAAGATAATTTTGCTTCATAAACATTATTAATTTATCCGTGTTTCTCTTGCTTATATTAGGTACGGATGTATATGAGTTGGAAACGTGCCTTGGAAAAGGAACCTATGGAAAAGTATTCAAAGCATTCAATTCACAAACACATCAAACGGTTGCTTTAAAAACCCAAAAACCTGCCTGTGTTTGGGAGTATTATATTGCGCGAGAGATAAAAACTCGCTTGACAAACCCTCATATGGTATTATTAATCGCATAGTACAAGAAATTCAATAAAATGTGTATCATATTGTAAAGTAGTTGCTTGTAGATCATGACGTATACTCATGTATCCGAGAATTTGTAGTTTCTATAATCTTATCGTATCTCTTCATCTGTGTATTTTGTTTTAGTTACGTGGATTTATGGACATTACAATGGCATATATAGCAGATAATGGAAGTGTACTAGTCTCTGAATTTTCAAAATATGGAACTTTGTTAGCTGTGACAAATGACGTAAAAATGAGCTCGGGTAAATCATTAAACGAAATTCTATGCATCTATTTCACAATCGAGATGTTGCAAATAGTTGAGTACTTGCAGAAGTGTCAGATAATCCACGGCGATATCAAACCAGATAATTTTTTATTGATGCACATGTAAGTAGACATTTTGTGGTAAACTTGTTGCAATTTTTAGTGCTTAATGTTTCTTACTGGTACATATGTAACAAATGAAGGATTTTCGATAGTTTTGATTATTTAGATGAATTTTAATCTCTTTTTCTCGACAGACCGACCGAGGATGTAAGACCGACTATTCAACTAATAGATTTTGGATGCAGTATAGACATGAGTTTATTTCCTAAAGACACTAAATTTACTCAAATTGTCAAGACACCAGATTTTACTTGCGTTGAAATGCAGACAGGACGTCCGTGGACATACCAAACAGACTTGTATTGTCTTGCAGCGTGCAGTCATTGCCTTTTGTTTGGTAACTACATGCGCGTTGCAAATACTGGTGGACGTTGGTTCATGACTTCAAAATTACCTAGGTAAGTCACTCTTATCATACCTAGTTGATAAAATCAAAATATTTACCCCGAAACAGTTGATGTTTCTTAAATAAAACATCAAAGCGAAGTATAATTCATAGTTTAATAAATGATTTGTATACTTTATACTTATCATTGAGTCTATGAAGCACAAGTATAAAAGGCAATTATTTCATATTTCGCTGAAAGCAAAGGTAAACCCATTAATAATTCTAGTACAAATACTTTAACATAAAATGTTCGGTGTTGGATAAAGTTAAAAAGGTGTACATACTTATTGGAAGAAATTATAAAAATTATTTAGTAGAATTACAAACAATATAGATGTTTAATATTATTTTTTAAATTTATGATTCAGATACGCAAAGAAACAAGCTTGGGAACCATTTTTCACGGAACTGCTAAATATCGAATCTTGTGAAAAGTTGCCCGATTTAGCAAAACTGCGTAACGGGTTTGAGGAGGTTCTGGTACATTCAGAACTACAAATGGCATCTAGAAATTTGTCCAACATTCTGAACAAACGATAACATTTACTCAACTTGGTCCATCACCTGCCGTTATGTCCAACATTGTGCACATACTTAGCGAAGAACCAACTATTAAGAGAAATTATTACTATTGTACTATTTATTATAAATGGCATTATAACGATTATATATAAGTAGATGCAGCAGATGAAATAGATATTTAGGCCTGCTTCGTGGAAGCTCTTTCGCTCAAGTCTTGCTTTTCCATAGCTGAGCTGCAGTAGTTTTATAATAACTTTGAGTAATACGATTACTTATTATGAACCTTTAATAGTACTGTGAGGGGTTACATTTATTTTCATGTTTTTCTATTCAAAAGTAGATTGTGATATATCAAGAATTGAATTATTTTTCTCATTGAACTTAAAGGAACTCAGATACGTTCAGTGCAGAGAACCTTCCATGGAGAAATATATACTTTCCTACAACAATTAAAAAAATTGGATTCAGATAAAGAAATTACGTAATTATCCGGGTTGTTTATAGAGGTGTACCAATAGGACAGTATTCATAGACTTACCGTGTGAATTTGCATTAAATAATGTTGTTGAGTTCTAGTGCAGGGTTTATTAGAGATTAAAAAGTGTGTGGAATATCATTAAATTTCCACAAATAAGCAAACTGCAGACTAAACTATAGAACATTCAGGTATAATTGTTAATATTTTTTACACGCAATTAGTATTTTTCTGAGAAGTAATTTGTCTCAATGACTGCTTTCCCATGACAGGTTTTTTGAATTTGAGTTTCTTGAAGATGTTGCGTGTGTTGCTTTCAAGATTTAGCGGCATTATTAATCATGTATAAAAATACAACTTTTGTATTAGCACTTTTTCGTAAGTGAAATATGCTAGACTTTTCTTAATATTTAAATGTTTTGCCCCATTTTAAAAAGATCGAATTACAGTACAGGGGTTTATTTTGTATAATTTCATAGCACATTTGCAAGAGTACGTCTGACTGAAAGCGTAACTACGAGTAACCTTTTTAAAAATAATTTCGTTGTATATCGATGATATTTTATCTTCTTATTTATATTTTAGTTATCGACGAATACTGTATGTTTCTTGTACACCAATGAATTAAATGTGAAAGCAAGCATCCGCTAAACAGGCCTGCCAGTAAGAACGATAAAACGTTTGTAGACCACGTTAGTGACAAATATAATACCCATAAAGATTTCAGCCTTATGTTTTGAAAATCCATTATTAGATTTTATATAACAAAAAAAAAAATTAGATGGCGCGATAGAAAAGGATAACGGTAAAAATGCATTATATTATATTACAGTAGGTATTAAGTAAAATAGCAGCTAATTGCTGTGTTTGTTCGAGATGCTATGAAACCATGCCTTATCTTACTTTAACAGTGTAATGTAAAAGTCCACTCGTCGAAGGTGTGCGAAAACCGTTCAAATTGCAAGAAATACATTTTACTCAAAACCAATTATACGAACTTTCCTATAATTTAGGTACGATTTAGAAGAGTCAAAAAAAAATATGAAGTACAATTACTATAATATTTTCTCTTATTTCGGGTTAATTGAATGTGATAAAAGTGATAATATACCATCACATTATCTTTTTCATGGAATTATCTAATAGTTCCTGATCCGATGCACCGTATTGTCAATAAATATCAGCACAAAGCCAGTGTTTTGTTTGTTATATTTTCTATACACTCTTCAGCATTCAGAATCCTTAAGGCAATAATACTGACTGAAAAACTACTTAAACATCTTTTCGGTACATATTTGTATATCTCATGTATGTCTCGTCATACAAGTAAGTATATTAACTAGTTAAATTATAAAGATATCAGGTTATCGATACATTGCATATTCCTAGAGGTATAAATATTTACAGTCATTTCATTATTTTTCTATCCTCACTTCATATTAAATTCAAGAAAAGCGAAGTTGGCAAGTCGTGTTAAAAACTAAGAATCGTTAATGCGGGTGAATACTATGCACGAGTACTTAGATTGCATTTCCTGTTTATAAATCATTTTTTCCAAAGACGCTTTTGATAGCGCAAAATGTTAGAAATTTAGTGTTTCCCATAAAATTTACGGTTTAACAGATACAGTAATAAGTTAACGTTAATCTTCGCTTTTCCGAACATATCCATTATTGGCGAGCCTTCAAACTGCATCTCAAGTAAGTTCTGGATATCGACATCCAACTTTTCCATTTCAACACCCATGAATTTTCCTCTTATAATAAAGATACCGTTATGCTCTGTAGGGCTTATTTCAAAACTGACATTCTTGAATTGCGACTGAGGAAGTCCATCGATTTCTAATAATATTCCCTTCTCATGCAGTTTTGCAGCTGAATATTTCAGCGTCATTTTTGATTTCAATTTTCCGTGACTATTTTTCTGCGTCATTTTAATTGCATGAAGAGAACTGTTTGAAAAAGAACGTTAGAATTGAAATACAACGAAATAATAAGGGCAATTTATTCATACGTACCCTTTCCCAGCATGTAGATTTTCAAGACATCGTTGGATGTATTTATTATAAAATTGCACCTGTTCTTGATAGTATTTGACCTTTTCCTCTAGACGTTGCTTGGTCGCTCGCAATGCCTGTAGTTCTTTATTTCGAACTATTCGATATTTTCCTTTGTTACACAGATCTCTGGCTACAGCCGTTATGATATTCTGATACCCATCGTCTTGTGATACCCAACCTCCTGCTTCTAATTTCTTTAAATATGCACGCAGCTGCAGTTTGCAGTCATTTAACGAAGAACTACAATAAATGAAACGAAGGGTCAAATATCATTAAATTCATTCCGCTGAAAAGAATTATTGTTGGAATACCTTTTGTGTATCAGGTTTAAGGCAGTCGTCATTGAAGAGTATTTCACGTCGTATAATTTTTCTTGAATTGGAGAAGAAGTAGCTTCTAAAGCGGTTACTAGCGTGTCACCCTTTAAAAATTGAAGAACCGATACCAATAACTCTTTAGTCTTTATAAAGAGTTTATACAAATTTGTATCATCATTTTCTGGTACTTCGAATTTATTGGTGAGAATTAAACACACTTCAGTTTTTCCCAAGCGAACAGCGTTAGATTCGCATATTCCATCATCTAATTATTTACAGTGAAAAGGATAGTATTAGTTACACAAGATATTGATTTGTTGCAGGATATTGAAAGTATAATGCAAATTACTTATTCCCATTAACGAAGCTACTGTTGGAGCACATTGCAGATCCTCTAATAGTTCGTGTAATGGATCTAATGGATCAGTTGCTATTCTATCTTGATATTCCAGCAATAGGGAATGAGTATCACAAATTTCCTATAAAAAAAATCAGTTAAAAGTGCAACAATAGTCTAATTTTCTGATAGAGATTACTCACTTGTAATGAAATATAAATTTCTGGTTTGTGTATTAGGGTTGCTTCGGTATATTCGTGCATACTAAAGTGATCATCCAAATCCTCTATTTGGCAACAATAACGGAAGAATTTCTTAAATTTTTCATGACATTCGATGATGAAAGGATTTAAGCATACTAAATGTGTAGCTTCTTCGCCAAACTATAATTGAAAGAACAATGATCATTTTTCAAAATATTTTAACAAAGTAGAATGCCTTTATGCACTTACGCCTTTTTTTGATGCTGCAAATTGCAGGATTTTCGCAATGCTCGCCAGATTTCTTCTTTGATCGTTTGATAGTGATTTGTCGATTGGTAATGTTATAATATCAAATGCATCAGGAGCAACAATAGCTGCATTAATGAAGTGATAGTAAATCAAATTGCCGACAACTTTTAATATATCCTTTTCAGGAGCATTTGGAAATTTTTCAGTTAATGTGTCATTTAAGACCTTTGCCATGTATAGCATACCATACGGTATCAAATCTCGAGATTCTGATATTCTTGATAAAAAGATCAGTACTGTGCGTTGAAGTAATTGTATGCCGTTACGCAATCTCTTTCGCACTTGTTCATAATTTAAAGCTTGCTGTTGATTTACAGTGTATGGAAGGTCCCTATTTTTACAAATAAATTATGTGTAGAGGATTGAAATAATTATACAAGTAGAATATATATAGTTGAATCAACATATATACAGAGATGTATAAAACAGTACTTACAGTGTTTCTCCTGTTTCCATTTCTAGTTGGTTCCTCCAACATTTATATATATCCACAGGATTAGTTTCAATGTTGATACTTTTATCAGCCAAAACCTGTTCAATTATAGGTCCGACAATTTGTCGTAATGCCTTTTGGCCATTTAATTGTCTTGCATAATTTACGACCATTTTTAAAACAAGAGGGTTTCCTGTTACGACTTCTGATGGTTTTTGGAATTTACACCTGAAACACAATGCATATGTATTGTACCATAATTTTTCACTTTAGATTTAACAGGGGATTTAATGATGTTCATACCTGATCTCTTCTTGTAAGGCACTTTTGAATAATTTCAATAATAAATACTCTTCTCTCATATTTGACCCGAAATTAAATAAAGTTAGAATAACGTCTTGCAGAAACTTATTCGTTTTACTTTGTGGCAAGAGAAACAACAATTTCGACAAGTACTTTGGATTAGTTTGCAATGTGTAAAACAGATGTTGATAACCTTCAAGCATTTTTCGTCCTTCTTTGGTTAACGATTTCAACCCTTTATGAACCGAGCTGTCTACCACAGAATTTTTCCTTGCTCTGGTTGTGCTTTTATCTTTTGCCAGTGACTCTAAATTTTTACCATGTACTACTACATCCTACATAATAAGACTGTTATTAATAACAAATACTAAATTTACATTAACTTGTTACCTTGAGTGAATTATAATACAAGTTTTAACTTTTGTATATTGTTAAACAGAATAAATTGGTGCTGTGTATTACCTGTAGAGTAATTCTGTTCTGAATGAGGAGACCAATTTTTATATCCATATTGTCTAATTGTTGTGAAAGATTTTGATTATGTCTGATTGTTTGAACTACTTCACTTTTAAGTTGCTGAAAAGGATATCATTCATTTGTGTGACTCAATAATTGCAGTAACCAATAACTTGCAATTAGATACACGTATTGTACATCCTACACATACTTACTTGCAGCTGAAGATCTTTGTCATAGTCTTCGGCATTAAAATTTAATATTGCTGAAAAATGTCTAACCACTGAGAATGGAGGTTTATCTAATCGTAAGAGGGAATGGAAAGCTTTTCTTGCTACTCTTCCGCGCCATAATGCCTGTATTTTTACAATTGCTTCTTCCTAAATTTTAAGCAATGCATGATCATATGCATCATAGTTGTTTTTTAGTATTTATATTAATTTGTATACAAATATTTTACGTACGTGTTCCTTGTATCTGTCAACACTATGGTGAAATTTGGTTTTATCTTCGATAAAATCATTTTCTGTCAGACTATTTATTTTCCGTCGCTCGGCGAGCATATTTACATATAATCTCCGTTGAACAATTGATCGCCACCACGTTTGAATTTGTACAATTTTGTCAATGTTATCATGAAAATGTGAGAATCTGTCTGAAATTTGTTTGCGAAGAAGATACCCTCGAATGCGTGCTTGAAACGATATGATTGTTTTTTCGTCGATTTTCTTTGGACCCATTTGCAATTCTTCACTAGTTGCATTTTTTATAACTTCCTATTATACAAGTGATATATAGGCAACTGTTATAAGTATAAAAATATATTGCATGTCGATTTCTTTACCGTAATGTCTTCTTTGGTAATATAGTAGGTGTCCGAAACGTATTTTGGCTTATCCCATGTATAACTGTAATTCTTGAGATCAAGATATGCTTCATTGCCTTCCGAGGTGACATAACGGAAAATAGGGCAGCAATATTTGTTTTCCTAAAATTGAAACAGGATTGTCCAGTTATAGGTAAAAAAACATTAAAATCGTAATGTTAATAATACCTTTAGAGATTTTAAAGATTTTAATGCTTCAAAACATTTCTCATTATGTTTCTTAGATATCTCAAAGCCATTTGCTTGCAAGCAATCTATGATGAACAATAAGTCGTTTCGTTGAAGTCCAAAGTTAATGTGTGTCAAGAAGGTGCAAGCTGCAAAGGATATTGAAAAGTTGCATGTAATACTAGAATAATTATAGTGTTAATATTATTATATGAATGGTGCAAACTAACCAGCCTGTACTTCGGTAGACTCATGAGCTACTGTTTGTGTTACACCCTCAACATCTTCTAGCCAGAGTTCTGATCCGTCTGAATGATTTTCGGTAAGACAATTTTTAAATAGTTTCAAATAGAGTGATGCATCTACTGATGATATAGGATCACACAACTTCAAAGATGGATCTTTCAATATTTCCACGATATTTAACCGATTATTCTCCATAACAGCCAAATTTAATTTTCGCAGTGCCTGTATAACTGTTAGAACATAAAACGCATAAGAAACTACGTAAATAACAATTTTAGATAAAGGAAAAATTAAAGTCTGCCTGAATCGTTACTAAGTAATCTACATGTGAAAATACGTCGTGCGAAAATAGTGAACTCTCATTGGTTGCTTTTAATGCTCAATAATTTAAAAACTATTAGTCATACATTTTGCCATACGACTTTTTGTATGGTTTTCTAAAAAATATATACAGGATGTAACAGGAATGGTGGTCATTGTTCATACACTGCTATCCTTGTTGAAAAAGGAGTCGAAATGTCCTGTATTATTTTTTCCTACGGTGTACACTTCTTCTGTAATAGCTAATTGAAGCACAGCCAATCAATCGCGTTTCGTTGGGGAAATATCTGATATCTGTTGGAAAAATAGCACAGGACTTTTCAACTTCTTTTTCAACAAGGATAACGTTGTATAAACCGTGACCACCATTTCTGTTACGCTTTGTATATTCCGCAATTACTTTAATACATTAAATGTATTTTAATTTTACCTCCATCATTATCTTGGCATTCTTGATTGACGATATCAATAGTTTCTTGAATATCAATGTACGTTAATAAAGGACATTCATTGCCGAGAGATTGCTTCTCACGACGAACGGCAGTTAATGCTCTACAATACTTCATTTTATTTTCTTCTTCTAAATTCTGAAAGAATAGCAAAGGATATTTAGTTGTAATTATAAAAATTGACTAAAAAAATTGTAAACTTACAGTAACGTGGGTTTCAGGATTTATTAGGGCTTGATAAACCAATTCAGGATTTCCTGTGTCCACAGCTTTTGTTATTGCGGCAATTGTGGACAATACACGAATACTAACAGATATATCACTGTATGAGATGTCTTTCTAAGAAAACGAATAAAAGTTAACGTTCGTATATAATTTTTTATCATAAATGTCACTGAATAAAAATTGCACCATCACATTAATGCAGATAATTTTATACCTGAGATTCCATGCGATCAATTTTCATTTCTTCATAATACAGAGGAATTGCGAATTCGTCGAAGTGATCATTCAAAACAAGGTCCGTACTTGATACAGCTTTATAAAAGTCATTCAGGTTTTCATTTTGCAATACTGAATTTATAAGTTTCATATCCTTTTCGCCTATGCATTTAAAATGAAACGGATGAAAATTGGAGATACTACATTAAAAGAAAGTTAAGCAATTATTAAAAACAAATGTTTTTAAAAAGTACAAACGTTTTTGCGACATGCTGCCAGCTTTATTACCACTGTCAATTGCATTTTGTAATAATTTTTGGCAGTACTGATTATTCTTCGAAGAGTTATTTTCCCTTTCAATATTTTCAATCAAGGGTATTAGTTCTTGCTTGTAGAATTCTGCATTATCATATTCAATTCGCTGTAAAATGCGATATTAGGTTTGCTTTTAAAGAAGTAGGAACACAAAATTGGACTTAAAAACGATCAAGGTTTGCAAGCAGTGTACATTTTGATTATAACATTGGTGACTGTTACTTACTTCAAGTTGAAGTGGACGTAAACGTAATGAATTTATTAACTCGTTTGTTCCCAGTTTTACTGATCTACAAACCGCTTCCCATGATTGTAGAACTGTAAAAATATATAAATTCTGATAGTTATATTATTAATGAAATTGCAGGAATAATAGAAGTTAAAAAGTATTCTTCTCTTTTCATTTAATATGTAAATCTGCAATATTGTACCATTTATATTGTTGATGTGACCCTGGATCTCTGCTTGTGTTAACAATTCATCATAAGCATCTGGCACATAGCTCTCATTGAGGGACTGTAAGAAAAATATCATCGTAAAAGTTTGACTCGGATATAATTTATTTAAAAGTGTATGTTACATACTTTATTAAGAGTGGCTTGTACTTTGACATCCTTTGCATGTGTCAAAGCATCGCAATAGTATTGAAGATATGGGCTGTAAACGTTTTCTAATTGTGCTGCAGGATTTAGAAGTGCTACTAAAACTGCATTGGAATCCTTAAAACAAAAATATACATTAGCATTTGTTTAATTAGACATAATGTAATACATTACTGTATTACTGAAAAGTGTAACTGTTAAAGAGCATTTTATTATATACACGATAATTAGTGTATTAATTGATGAATTTGAGGTACCGTGTCTGTCAGCGTTTGATTTATAGCAATTACAGCAGCATGCAAAGCTGCAGTGTCTCCTGCCATATTATTTGTTAGAAGACCTCCAATCTTTTGAAACGCTGGCATCTGGATACCATACTTTCTTAATTCCTTGCTAACAGTGTTGATTTCTTCATCTATAGGAGGGATAATAAGAAGCCGTAGAAATAGAATTATAGAGTAATAAATCTTAACACATACCTGTAAAATTAACTTTTCCATACAAGTCCTGGATTTGTGGTGCCTTCCCTTGTTTAAATAAATGAGTACTTAAAGCATGAATGCAATAAATAACCCGGGGCATGTTCTTTTTGTCATAAATATCAGTGGTTTCAGGCTGGAATGTCTGTAAATGACAACATTAAAGAATATGGGTAAGGTTTATAAATTTTCCAGACTGGTATACCCGTACGACTAAAAATGAATATTACCTGCAATCATAAATTATACAGCATATTCTATTTATGTTGGTTAATGGTACCTACCAGTGGCAATTTCATATTTTTCAGACATTTCAAAAAATGATTTATATTATCAGTGTGACGAAATTGTAAACCAGCAGCTTTGTATCTTTTCTGTTCAGCATCATAAATCTTATTCAAAGGTAAAATACTGGGTTCCATAAAATGGCCTAGTTTTGCTAAGTATACACCATTACGTAAATTTTCTTCCAGTTCGGTTGTTGGAGGTAATTCTTCTCTTAAGCAAGCTTCCAACCATCTGAAAATATTTAAATATTTTAAGATTACGTTCTGTAATGTTTTCATGTAGATAGTTTCAGGTGTTTACTTTTTAGCTTCTTCTAAATGACATAAGTACTCATAAGCAAGTGTCTTTTGACGTTGTTCATCCATTTCTTCTGCTGATATTCGTGTCTCATTTTCTGAAAGGATTGAATATTATTTTTAATATTATTCTTAAAGAAATGAACTGAATTATCTATCATGTCGTAAATATGAATCTATAATTGCTTAAGTTAATGTCACTAAGTTATGAAACCATCTTACATTTGTTTTCAACAAAAAAAGTAGTATGAAGAAAACTTCTTTTCGTTAATATTGTTTGATTATTGATTAGAATTCTCAATTATTATAAACAATGTCTGTTTACTGTGGTGCCATGAATTTGGATGACATTAAATGTGAAGGACATCAAAGATGTATAGATGTCAAGAATATTAAATTTACTCTATCATAATAATTAATTTAACTAACCCTTTTCGCAGTTTCTTAGTACACTGTCGATATCCCTCATTTCGTGGTTCTTAAGTGATAACGGTATCCTGAATTGTAAAATATCAACACATTGCCTTCCTGTACGTTACATATCGCACGTATCGTATAACCGGCTTAAATTCAAACTTTGTACAAGATATTAGGAGGGGAGACTGTTAACAGGTGTTTCAGAATGAAAGGATTTCATTGGCTTAGGGTATAAATGATTACTGGATGTGTTCAAAAATACTTGGTGAGCATTGAACCTCTGAGTACATTTACACATGCTATCTTGCATTGGTTTAGAGCTTGTGTTCACGATACTAAAACCAGAGATTAATTGGGAGATAGCTGACGGGCAGAATTGCGCGATTGTATTGTGCTGCCCCCGGTGGAGGATGTGGACAGCTAACGCACGTGCCACCTGATACCCCCCAATGGCAGCCCAATTCAGGGATCCTCCTCATCTCTGCTCTCAACTCATCTCTGTGATAACAAACATCGTTTAACATCTCTTACCAACAAGTCCAGCAAGATCTGCGGCGATGAACTACCCATCATGACTTGTTAAAAAAATGAATCCTGTTGTGATCCACATAAACCTGGAAAGGAGTATGTACAAAAGAACAGGCAAAACAGAACATTTAAAAAAATCCAGGAAGTCTGAGATTAGACAGTGAATAAGTTACTAAAAGTTAAGAATATTAACGGTAGATCGATCTCGTTAAATTGACTGAACTGCTATTTTTTATATCACTAAGTAGGAAAAAATTCATTTAAATGTAGAATCGACATGATCGCTCGAGAACGCTGGGAGCCATGAACAGATAAACAGTGAATGAAGTATAATATGTGAACTGATAAGTGAAGATAATCTAATGAAATTAAATATTTCTGTCTCTATGGACTCTGTAGTGAAAGATTGTGGAACAGGTTCACAGCAGCATTAGCAGATGGCGCCACTGTTCATTCATTGATAAAGTTGGTTTACCCCCTCCCTCATTCCTTTTATTTAAATTAACGTTTACCTAAATCAACACGTCAAGAACAATCTACTTTCGGTATTATGTTGATTTACAACTTTAATCATGTTGCTATTTACGTAATTATTGTATTAAAACAAAACATGAATGTGCTCTTCCCTTTTTTGGTTTTACCTCTTACAAGTAATCCTCTATTGCAATAATTAGTGTCATTGCTATTTTCTTAATTATGTAATTTTCCTGTAACATAGAAACACTGCGTGAATATTGGTGGAGCGCTAACTGTATACATCGTAAATTTTAAATAAATTAGTTACTGTATTTTGTTCAAAAAATGATTGGTACAATTTAATATTAATTTAAACAAGAACTGGAGAAAATCTCTTTCTTTACAAATATAGTTTACAAGATTGATAGAATTCAATTTCATGCTGTGAAGACTCCACTTACACATACCTATTAAACATGAATTAAAAATATTAGAAATGCATTAAAACCTTTATTTTTGAGGTTAACGATGATAAACAACCTAGACAATTTTAGATAAAATTTATTCTCGACCTTCCCAAAAAAATACGTTTCGTGCAGCTCGTTTTTTATATATAGTGTTACAAAAATAAGGATCTATCCTCGCTTTAATCCGTTAACCGGGTCATTAACTTTTGTACAACTCGTTTCACAATGATAAATTTTGTCATGCCCGGTTAACAGGTCGTGCAGTCTTCTGCGCCTATCACCTGTTTTTTATACCTTCACTCGTATCACTAGCATCCACGATGTTCCATTTGTATACGTCAATGTTCCGATTGCAAGCCCTTCAAGATGTTCAGCTTTCGATTTTTCCCACATCTTTCGTCACTTCCGCATCGGAGCCAAAACACTTTAGTTAGTTGAATTGACGAGAGTGCGCCGATGCCGACCCGAAGAGAGAAAGACTCGGCTTTAGAAGAGGAGGATCGGTCAGATAAGCGATTGACCCTCGTTCCCTCAATGACCTGCACAGTGCGTAATGTTCAGTTTATTGGCGTGCCCACCAGTCAAGTACGACGTACACCCGACATAATTTGGCAGCATACTTCTCCGCTACAAAATCCCGTGCCGCACGATTCGCACGTGCATTAATTAACGATTATTCCATCACGGACAATTAGCTCGCAAACAATGAGAGCGACGATAATATTCCTTGTTTTCTCGCTTGTCCTCGTGTGCGGCTCGGACTCAGTTGCTGACGGTAAGTCGATATCTATTACATTTTAATATCGTCTGCCGTTTTATAAGCTATTGTGGTTCCTCCCGCTATCGCGCGCACATCTTTCACGTGCATTGATAAGTGACTCACCTTCCGGAGGGTGAATTACCGAGGCGATTAAAATACTACTCATGTTATTCATCTCGCTGGTTTACGTTGTGGAATCGGTCGTCGATAACGTATAGTCACGCGGAACAAAGGTTTCCTTGTATTTAGGATAGGAAACGAATTAGTGAATAGAATAATAGGAAAGTGTATAGAAAATGAGTTTTCACGAAAATCATCCATGAATTTAGGCGAATGGTATATATTTATATAAGAGGTGGCTTTACATACCGAAATGAAAGTGTAGAGAAAATGAGTTTTCATAATAATAATAATCTTGCATGAATTTAGGCGAATGATATATATATTTATATGAGGTGGCTTTACATACCGAAATGAAAGTGTAGAGAAAATGAGTTTTCATAATAATGAATTTAGGCGAATGATATATATTTATATAAGAGATGGTTTTACATACCGAAATGAAAGTGTACAGAAAATGAGTTTTTATAATAATAATCTTGCATGAAGTTAGGCGAATTATATATATATATATATTTATATGAGGTGGCTTTACATGCCGAAATGAAAGTGCATAGAAAATGAGTTTTCACAATAATCTTCCATGAATTCAGGCGAATGATATGTATTAATATAAGAGGTGGCTTTACGTACCGAAATGAGAGGATACAGAAAATGAGTTTTCACAAAAATCTTCTATAAATTTAGGCGAATAATATATAATTATATAATAGGTGGCTTCATATACCCAAAGGCAAAGGGCGTTTCCGTTGAAAACAGCGCTTTGTCTTTTAACATAGATGTACCTACATGCCTGCAATTGGTGATTTATGGAGGGCAAGGTTCGGATTTTCTCTCTCTTGTCTCAAGAGAAAGGAAATTCTCTAATTCGACCCTACTTAACAAAACAGAGCCGAATAATCAAGTGACTTCGGCACTGCGGACAATAAAGTGATTAACTAAAATATTGCTCCTGTTCTCTTGTTTCTTTGTCCGTGTCTCAAACTTCATTAAGCCGCTTTCCCAAGTTTTCAATGGTTGGCTGTGCAGACAGCCAAGATGAGGTAAACTTGAATTATTCAATTGATTAATCGATTTTCTGAATGCTCGGAGCTGTTTTGCGGGTATCTAATTCACCCAGACACTTGTCGCCGTGTGCCAATCTACAATGCAAATATACGTGTCGGCGCAGTTGCGGAATAATGAGAAATGCTAGAAATTGATATGTTTTTAATAAATGTTACATTTTTTAATGGTATCATTGTTTCATTGATCTGCAGGCGTGGTACACGCGATCGATTTAAATTTTGGATCTTTGTACACACGTACAATACAGATGATTTTCAGATAAAAATGTGGCGTCCAAATTGGCCGAGGGTGAGCAACGCCTTGGAGATCAAATATTAGCGATTTTGAAGCACTATCAGCAGGAGGACCCCATTGGACTTCCAGGGGCCCCGATACCAGACCCGATGCCAGTTCCGGATATGAAACATTCCTTTTCCATGTACACGATGAACTTCAGAAACACCAGCGTGTACGGCCTCTCCAAATTTCGAATTGAACATATACGATCAGAGTTAGCTTTGATGCAGGTATGATTTCAGGAACCGTGTGCCACTATTTAAGAACTGCAATTCCTAAAAAATTCCAAGACAATTAAAAGATATAATGAAATGTAGATGATTTAATTTTTCACTAGAAAATTTTATTATTTTCAGGTATCAGTGGCTCTGAACATCGAAACTCTGGATGTTCGTGGGTTGTATACCTTGGCATCTTGGTTGACTAGTTCTGCAGGTGATTTTACGGTCAAATTGAGTGGTGTTGTCGTCCAAGGTGTGGCTAGGCTGGAAGTGAGCACCGAGGGAAAATTGCGAGCCCAAGACATCGACATGGACCTGACCTTCGACAATATCGATTTGGACTTCAAGAATCTGGGATTTCTGGGAGCCGTATTCCAGGGCGTGATCAACTCCGTGGGCAGCTTTATCTTCGACAGCATCAAACCGTTCATCCTGAAAGAGGTCAACACCAACGTTAGGTAGAGGTCCCGATTACTAGTTGGAACTTACGGATCGCGATGCAGGGTGGGGAACAATGTTTAATCGTAAAGTTCAGCTAAGATCCCGCTACGGTAATTAAATACTCCGCAGAACTTGAAGTATGGGGTTTTATAGGCGCGCGAAGCTAGGCAGCGAAGTCATGAATCATTTTCAAGAAGGAGCACTTAAGGCTTCGCTGAACCTTCCTGGCGATTTCATTATTTCATATTAACGTTAAAGTTCTGCGTTGATACCTTGGATATCAATTAATCCGTCGCGGAATGCAGATGTCTCTGAAATCCTAGGTGAATCTTTGATTTCACCCATAGGGAAAAAGCCCTTTTTTATTTATGAATTTGATATTTCAGGGGAGAAGTGAACAAGCAGATCTCCCAGGTGCCGCAATACTTCCCGAATTCGATTTCGCCCTTTGACATGGCGGTTGCCGAAGCACGCAAGCAAGTTTCGGAAATGGGTTACGACCCTTACAGGATTAATGACTTTACCCACAGTGTTGGTATTTTCACGGTCACGTCGTCTCACACTTGGATCACCGGCTTGGCAACCTTCTATCGTATGGGTAACATAACGCTTACCATGGAAAAGGGAACCGTACGTAAAGAGTATATTTTTAATTACTAGATCCGCTAATTACGAAACCCTAATGTATGAGAATACTTATTTGTATACATATTTAGTGATTGCATACCTTGATGTACCATCCTTTCGACAATATGAAGCACTGAAAAGCAATGCTGCATGTCGAGGGCTTAAAACGATTTATTATAAAAATTTGAAAGTATAGTTTCTCATGCATATGGCTAGTCGTACGATTTGTGGGATAGTTACGTCCACTGTTATGTTTGTGAAAAAAAAAAAACGAAGTACTTGTTTTTATCGGATCCCTTCGGTCGATTGTACGGGTACTTATGAAACTTCTTTGATAACAGGAGATTACAGTCGGGATAGTTCATTTAGGCACAATGGTTCTTGCTAAATGTTGCACAAATGAAGCATGATGAATAATGAATATCGTGGTTGGCATATAGAAAATGAATATCGTATATGGAACTCTTGCTTTAACGGCTTAAAACGATTTATTATAACAATTTGGAAGTATAGTTTCTCATGCATATGGCTAGTCGTAGGATTTGTGGGCTAATTATATCCACTGTTATGTTTGTGAAAAAAAAACCACGTACTTGTTCATTTAGGTACAATGGTTCTTGCTAAATGTTGTAAAGATGAATCATGATGAATATCGTGGTTGGCATGTAGGAAATGAATAACGTACCTATATGAACTCTTACTTTAATCGAATCGAACTACTCGAGACGTAAGAAGGAACTTGTCAAATTTATAGCTCTTTTCCTGCAATTCGAAAGGTTTACGCCTGCGTGGACGTAGGTACCCAAGAAATAGAAGGAAGAACGCATTGGGAAGTAAGCTTGACTGGTGGTCTCGTGTCGAGGGCAGGAACCGTATCCTTTACGGTAAAGTACTTTAGGGTACAAGTTACCTTGAGCCAGCCCATGGACACGAGGAAACGTGCCACCCTAGAAGACGTGAATCTCGAATTGGGTAATATCCAAGCCAGAATTCACGGAGCGGGCACGATAGACTACATCCTCGAAGGCAGCATCAACATATTACCGAACCTCTTAAGGTAGGCGAATCCATTTTCTTTTTTTTTCATTAATTTAATACTGTAACTGGTATTCATTTCCTATCGTGTTCGATACTTATCAGGTTGACATGGTTGATAGAATTTGGTTGAAAGTTTGTCTCCAAGTTCAACGGTGAAGCTGATGAACACTCGTGTTGGTTGTTAAGAGCAACTTGTTCTACTTTAAGGCTATTAAAGTGGCAGCGGAATGTCTCATCGTGCTTCCGCGAAGCGGCACACATTTATGATAGTTATTTTCCACCGGGGGCCAGGAATTCAATTCTCTCTTGATGAGAGTTCCACATATTGTATCAGCCTTACGTCTCCTAGTAGCGAGGAATTTAAATTCCAGGGGATTCGAATGATGGAAATTTGTCTTTTAAAGTCCTTACGACTCTCGTCGAGAAATCTTATTTCTTGTAGAGAAAAAAGACAATACGCTAATTGGCTAATTCGTCGAGCTATTCGGTACTGCGTGGTTTATTATAGTTACCTCATTAGATATTTCACTTGCACGTCCAAACTCAGAGCGTGGGCAGAATAATTATTGTTTTAACCTTCTAAGCTTGAGTAACGAGCTCGAAGTTGTTGTCAGGAATATATACGATCCTTTTACACGGATTTCAGTTAACTATTAATATCGCACTACTTGTGGGCACACAATTTTACTAAAGTTTTGATAACGGTTCTCCACGAAGTCATATGTATTCTCCTGTTTAAATGGGTTCACGAGGTATTTATGAAGACAAAAATTAAATTATTAAATCTTTAAATGAACCGCAAAATATTTATGAAATACGCCGTTGGAACGCTATACTGTTTTTAAATGCGTTTGTATTTTCAGAGCGGTTGTACAGTTTGTAGATAGTTTATTGTAACTACTTCATGTAATGTTTTTAAATTAGGCAATCATTTTTTATTATCGGATAACTTTAAGATATGTAAATTACATTTCAAAGTGACTATGTTATAGGCAATGTGATAAATACGGGCATTCTGGAGGATTTTGCATCACATTTCCAGTAACAATTACATGGAAAATCACGCTAATTTTCAGTTATTTTTTTCAGTTTTCGAATTTTTACGAATTTTTTTTAGCGCAGATAGGCAGTTTTAGTCTTTCAATTCGATCAATTTATTTTTCATTGTAATTAGATAAGTAACAATTAGCGGGTATATATGTCATATTTCTTTTTATGCCGCCGAGCTCGTATATATTTTCGACGACGTATTCTCCATAAAAAAAAATTAAGCAAAAAGTCTTAGTTATTAAATTCATGGTTTGTAGATGGTGCAGTAAAGAACGCATTTTTTCGCGGATCGCAAAAAGATCAGAACGACACTTTCTGCATCCGAAGCTCGTATAACTCAAGTCATTGTTGGATTATATTTTTGTTAAGATTTATTTCGATGCAGAATTAATGGCGAAGTTTAATTTTCTATTCCGTTTGTTTATTGATCGCCCTCGGATTTCAGTATGTGGCATTTCCGGGTCCACGTTCTTGCATTTATTGCAAATGAATCAAGACGCACATATGTTTAATATTTCATGTGTTTTCATAAGGAGAAATTATGATGGATTTTTTGTAGAGGCCAGATCATGCAGGCCATCAGGGGTCCTCTCAAGAGGAGAATACAGGATGAGTTGGACAAGGTGGACGTGGAGAAATTAATTCACGAAAAAATTCCGGAGATAGAGGAGCAGGCCAGACTCCTCCAGAGTGCTCCTCTTGCCGATGATATTCTCTTGGAGGAAACCAAGCTAGTACCGGCGCAAGAGGACCTGGGACCATTTTCCGAGAGCGAGGAAAACCGCGGGCCTTCGTAAGGACCTTCGAAGATGTTTGCTTTAGCATTTACGACGGAGGAGGAGTTACACGAGTGATAACAAAGGGCTTTGTACAAAATAAATTATGAAACGTTCAATATTTGTCCTCAATAGTATACCTTTATACAATACGATTTTAGAAAACTTTTGATATAAAAGGAACGAAAACTCCTTCGACATTCTGGAAACGTTCGATCCGGCGAAATTAACGTTCCACAAAGGCGTGCCCATATCTTGGCAATAGTGAATCAAATGTATGATCGAAACGTTATCGGTACCTGCGCACGTGGATACGTCGTTCACAGGATATGTCGTCGTATCTAGCGTTATCTGCCGCGGCACGGTATCGATTTTTCTTTCGGGAATAATCTTCGGACGGAGTACCAAAAGGAAAAATATTTTAGCTTTAAATTATTTTCCCGGCATATGGGACGGAGGAACACGAGCGAAACCGGATAGCATTGAATCCGAGCACCATCGTCAACGAACGTATCGTTGTTCGCTGCAAATGGATTTGATATTGTATGACTCTGTGCAGAATATACAGCCCCGGCTTGCGTGAGTCGTGTCTTCCTTCGTCGCAGGACCAACGGAAGGATGCAAATAATATTGCAGTCGAACAGCCTTACACCCTTCGAAGTCGGGAGGAAAGGAGGCGGCGATCCGTCCGCAGAGAAATACCTCGCGGGAATTCCCTGTATTATTTCCAATTTTATTTCCAGCTGAGCTTCAAAACGTCCCCGCTCGAAATTCCCGACTGCGGAAGCTGAAGATATTCAGGAGAGTCCCTCGAAGAGCTCTCCTAAATTTTTCTCCAGCCTCGACTCCGCTCTTCTTTTTTTTTCTTAACACCAGGACGTTCCCTCAACCCCTAACCATGCAAAGTGCGTCTCGACACCCTCGCGTCGGACTGAGTCCATTTTCCTTATCTTCCCTCCACGAGACTCACCCCTTAAGCGAAGAACGTAGTCCGGGTTCCGACGATTTCCCTCCAGGGTCCAGAGGAACCTAGAATCTCTTAAGTACGGCATAACGAGTCCTACATCGCGGCCTGCGGATAACACCAATAAAACACGGTCTCCAGGTCCCGTGATAATGGAAAAGCGCAGACTGTTAAAAAAATTCATACACTTTTAGTACATACGGTTGCAGTAAACTTATAAATTTGATGTCTTAACAATGAATTAGCATACGTTTATTATAAAATTTTAAGTAATTTTACAATTTTATAACACCGTGTCGTAATTTTCTGAAATTGCGGAGAGAAATTATAAATTTGATATTCGATAGTTATTTCGTACGCATTGTTTGCAAATTTTTTAGATGGGTCTTTAATTTCATGATCGTTTACATAAGTTTATTTTGAAACAAATTTAATCGATTTTGCAAAAACAATTTGTTCGGCGTTTAAGGTATGCCTGTCTCTAAAATCATCCTCGAATGTGTCCGGAACATATGTCAAATCTGTTTCTCCGCAGAAAAAACGTTTAATATCAAGTACTGATCAACGCAAATTTATAATATATGTTACACATTTCATTTGAAAATATGTTATAAAAATGATTACACCATGTCTGAATAAAGCTTTCAAGAAATACGGTATAAAATTATATTTTTTTAACAGTGCATATCTATCCGGTAGCCGATAGCCTTCACTGGCGCGACTTCCCGGCCAGTGATTCCACGGCTTTCCCCTTTTTAAGGTCCCGGTTATGCGCAGAAAATTTACAACGTCTTTAGCGTTATCAGCGTCGTAATAATAACGGCGGGCCGGAGGGTCGATGGGCTCGGCAGATGAAGATCCGATGAAGGGGTCGGAGGCACCGATGGCACGGGGAGGGTGCTCCGATTCTGGACTCGATAGTCGCGGTTACTTTTCCACGAGGGGTGCTCCCCACGGCCTTCCCGAACGAGGCCTCTGCACCGATACGAAAAAGTGGCTCACCCTGTAGGTACCGGGGGTCAGGCGGTTTAATTTACTGCTCCCTTTTCTCGGACCCTCGCCAAGGTTTCCCGCCCCTGCCTATTCCACCTGCTGCCGTTATGACGTCCGCCTGCGAAACGACCCTAGGACCAATTTTCTCAGGACGGGCTTAACTACTCTGTTAAAAAAGCTATGATAATTTTATAACACTTTTCTTCGAAGTTTCATTCAGACACGGTGTATTAATTTTATGACATGTTTTCAAATAAAATGTATAACATATATTATGAATTTGGTACATATGTGTAATACATTTATGATAGATGTTATAAATTTGTGTTGATATTAAACGATTTTTCTGTATACAAATTTGACATTTGAACGCGTGGTTGGAGGCCCGATACGAGTAGGTAACTCGGTTTCAATCTCACCCTCGCTACTCGGAGGGTAAAGTAGGGGATATCGTTCCGTTGGTCAAATTGTGCCATTACGATACTTTGACCATAGATATCTAACCCTCGCATATCAGTGGAAGGGGTAAACGAATGTACCACGTGGGCCGGCAACTCACCCACACAGTTAAAACCGTTCTGCTTACTGAAAATCTGAGAGTGGGAGGTCTAATGCGAGGTCTAGATATATATGTTCTAAGTTGCGATGTTTAAAAAGATACGTTAAGAAATAACCATTTAACTGGCAAAATATGAATCTAAACTTGTGTCATTTGTTTATATCTTTTTGGCGATAACATCGGTGAATACTACAGCCAGACGCATATTATATTAGTTCGTTAATGCGTTACTAATTTTGTAAGCGCTGTCTTGATATAATGTGAGATCTAGATATACATGATCTAAGTTATGATTTTTAAAATGATACGTTAAGAAATAACCATTTAACTGGCAAAATATGAATCTAAACTTGTGTCATTTGTTTATATCTTTTTGGCGATAACATCGGTGAATACTACAGCCAGACGCATATTATATTAGTTTGCTAATGCGTTACTAATTTTGTAAGCGCTGCCATCGCCGTTGCATTGGCGCCGTCTTAGGCCCCCACGTGCGGAGACGCCATGATTTTTGGCAACGCGGTCAACCGAGCGTGCGCGGAAGTCAGTCTTATGTGGGCCTCGGTAGCCGCCACACGTCCGAAATATAGGAAGTCCATCGGCATCGATTATCTACGCCAAGTCCATCTTTATCATCTCCCTTACAATTTTGCCGCTTCATCTCTAACCGATGTCAACCATGTGAGGTATGTTGAACCATTGTCACTAGTAATTGTTAAAAATGTTATTTTATTTGCATGCAAATGCATGCTTAACCTTAAACGGACGTTTTAAAAATTATGAAACAGAACAACTCCCGGTCGACAATATTGTCCCATAATTGGGTAATTCGTCCCAGTATGCTTAACCCAATTGGGTTTAGTAATTTGAAGGTTTTTAAGGCTAACTTGTGTAAAACGGAGTGACTATTCCATTCCAATATTTTCCCAGCTTCGATTCAATTGAAACGATTCGAAGACTTGAATATTTCCAACGAGAAAAATGAACTCTGAGAATCTTACCGAAGTGAGACTGAAATTTCTGTCGGCAACCTAAACGGTCAAAAGAATAGAGAATAAAAAAATTCAACCGAGATCGATAAATTCAAGATAGGTATCGATAACTCGAATTAGATCGACTCGGTCGGGCCTCGTTGCCGAGTACAAAAAACCATATTGCCTAAAAGTAACTCCAGTTATCTCGAATGCACGCTTTGCTTGAATTTAACGAGTGAAAACATTCGACTAGTCGCATCCCTAGTTGGGACCTTAGCAGGCTCGGGACATTTCGGCTTCCTGACGCTCTTCCAGAGTTTCCCTGTCGATTTCCTGGAGTTCGAGCACTCTCCCAGGAACTCTTCCGAGAGCCGGTCGGAAAGTATAACGAGGGAGCAAAGCTGAATTTCCTGGAGTTGGAAGCAATCGGATCGGGTTTATTTACACGTTACTAAATACCCGAATAAACAAAGCAGCGGTACGATCCGTGCACGACCTTACTTCCAATTGCGATGTATGCCGATAACGCGTAACGAGGACAGTTAACCCCTTGCCTTACAATTTAAATTCCAATAACGAGCCATAAACAACAAAAGTGTCGGTCATACATGGGGCCATTTCACGGTTTGGCTGAACGTTCAAAGTCTCACACGTCTCTCATACATTTTGTTCACGTTTGGCCCGATTGACATACCACGTCTCTCACACGATATTGTAAGTTAAGGGGTTAATTAAAACGAGAGGGTTTTCTAGAAAAATGCCCGGACACTCCGCACAGGTCGCGGAAAAAGGAGCGAGGACGACCTCGATGCGTTAGCGTCTTCTCCGATTTCGCGCAATTCACTTTAGACAAGGGGTAAGACTCGGTGTAATCATAGTCTCGCCCTTTGAGGGTGTTACAGGATGTAGGATGCCGCGGTATTCTTGTCACGGTGATCCGGGAAATTGCGGAGATGCGAGAGAGCCTGGCTCGCATTCAGGGACGCATTATATGCCGAAGAGAGAAACCAGGAGTTCTTGTCAGATCGCCGTGGCTTTTCAGGGACTTGCTTGCAAGGATCCGTTCGATCTTCTTGACAAAGGGTCGAAGATATCGCTCTTTCTTTTTCCTTTTATTACGAAAATCGGCCCGTCCCTTCCATCGGCTCGACGTGGCGCGCGACCGGAAAACGGGGGCGAGATCGAATTAATTTCAAGGGCTTTTGTACTTCCGACAGTTGTAGTTAGCCTGGCCACGTTCCAAGTCGGTCTGCAAGAACTCCAAAGCGGCGCGCCTCGTCGCGTTTTTCATCCTCGCGATTTCCGCGTCCTCGGGAAGTCCTCGATGGTACTTTGGCGTCGTTAGGTTATCCAGGAGTGTCTTTAAGATGAAGTGAAACCCCCCTCGAATCAGTCGATCCGGATGAAACACTTTTTTCAAGAGGATATGAAAGAGTCAGCCTATACATATATCTGATAAGTCATATCGTTGGGGAAATGTATTCTCCGAATTGGGTGTACCGATTCGTTTCAAATTTCACCACGTGAATATGGAGGCCCTAAAGTAGATTTTGAAATTTATGAAATTTCATTTTTCATCCAAAATTGATTTTCTTATCATGGACCAGGACCAACATGACGTGGTCCGGG